GTCTCTTCGCAAGATGTCGTGGGTAACTAGAGTAGACAGCACTTGCTAGTAGAGTCGTACCAGAATTAGAGGAGCGGGGTCGTAGGTTAGAGGATATTTCTCTAGCTAGATTAGTTGAGATTTATCTATATTAATTAGGATTTAGAACTGTTTTAGCTAGTGTTGTCTAATAATACAATCCTAAGAACCTAAGTCTACTATTACAAAGGGGCAGTTATAAACCTTTTAGCCACTAACTATCATGTGAAGCTGAATATAGTGAGCAACTAGGGAGGTAATCTAATCCTAGAACCCTTTAATAGTAAGCTTGTATAGTAGCTTTTAGATAGGTACCCTAAGCGTAGAAGAGATGTTATAAGCAATTTTTGAATTAAGAAATAAGTAACCTTAGGCCCTAGTATCCACTAAAGCATTTAGGCGAATACTAGATCTGTTAAGGCACAGGGTTATACATGCAAGCAAGTAGGAACTAACAAATAATTTAGTTAAGGAAAGGTTTAACAGGTTATATTAAGTTAGGCCTAGGAAGGAGGATCCTCCTAGGCGTTGTTGTTTCCCGTCTAATAGCTATCTAAATTGGTTAATTTAGCGGTTTCTTCTTCCTTAGAATTCTTGACACCCTGTTCCACATCTATGGCCTAAATCCTAGGGGGTTTAAGGTAGTTACTAGAGAAGTGCCTAGGCTTTCTACAATTATAGCAAGTTACTAGGATTCCTATTATAGTAGCGCTAGGAGTAGCTAGCGTAGCAGATAGGGGTTAATTGTTTTAAGGGGTAGTGCCTTATTATTGCAAATAGGGCACATAGGGTTTAGCTATTAAAGGTCTATTATAGGGTTTCTAATTAGCGTCTAAATAGGACTAGTTTCTAGAGTGTTAGAAGGGAGTTAGTCCTTTTCTAGATAATAGGGTAGTCTAGGTAGGAGCAGACAAGGTAGGGTATAGGCAGCGTTCCATGTTAAAAGTAGTAAGATAATCCACTATAGTCTTGAAATTATTGTGCTAATTCTGTTAGAAAGCGAGGTTTAGCATCCTTAGGGAAGGTGTAATCTTTATCTAGAGGTAGTAATACTACTCTAATTAGGGTACTTCTCCTCTAATAGCAAGACTCTAGAATTATAACTTAAAGGCAGGGAACGTCTCTATATTAGTTATGTATAGGCAGTTAAATGTAGTCTAACTCTTAGCTATCTTATTTCTAGTAATAAAGTAGGTTTAAAGGAGGGTAATTATTTCCTTAGCTTTTTAGAACTAAAGGCTTAGGGAATTAGATAGGTAATATAGCTCTAAGTATTCTCTTGCTAGTCCTAAGCAGTGTCCCTAGACTAACGCTATCTAAGCTCTAGAAGAGGGGTAGTAATTAGCGTTAATCTCTAGCCTATCCTAAATAGATGCTTGCTATTATCTAAAAGTAGGATTAGCACTATTACTAAGTATAGAGATATTTAGCGTCTTTTTAGATTATCTCTTAGCTTTTATAGTATATACTATAGGGTTTAATATAGAAGCTAAAGACTAGCTAGGTTAGGTAGTACCCTATATCTCCTTATAGAGGGAGGTGTTATATAACTAATTAGTAAGTTACTTAACTTGTTCCTCTAACCTCTCCTTTTTAGATAGGGTTAATATATATTTATCTTTAAGGGAGGTGTTGCTTTAAGATTTCCTAGGAGCACAAGGTACCTTAAGAGATAGATAGGAAGTAGGTCCTTTAAGGAGGGCGTTGTTAATTAAGTCTTCCTTATCTAATTTCTTTCTATTAGTAAATAGGCTTTTAAAAGCAGCTAAACTAGAGGCCCTTCCTTTACCCTTGTCTAATATTTTGTAGTTAATAAGAATAATAAATCTTTTCTTTTCTTTTTAGGGGGTTTAGTTATAGGAGGATATTAGCTTTGCCTCTAATTCCTCTAGGCTTTTAGTAGTCTCTAGGTCTCTACCTTAACGCAATCTAACGCGATTTTTCTAAAGGTAATCTAGCACCACCTATAGGTCTAGAAGTCTAAGCCTATAGGCTTTAGTTATTAGAAGTTCTAATAGCTATTCTAACTATAGAGTTACAGGGTTAGGTAGCTACTAGAACTAAATTAGTAGCTTAAAATAACAACAAGTGCGATATTCTTAAATACTATTACTAGCTAGGATAATGTTCTTCTTATAATGTAACAACTTAGGTAGGTAGGGCATCTAAAAGGTATCCTATACAACTTAAAGGCATATAGGAGTGCGCGTCTATATAGAAAAGGATAAGATTCCTACACCTATAGGTCTTATACGAAAGGATAAGAAGAATATACCTATCCTAACTATAGGCGAGCTGTTCTCTATATATATTAGTGAGTCGGGCCTTTATTAGACTAGACTTGGCATGGAACAATAGGCAGGCAATTCTGCCTTATTGTTACAGATATAAGTATAGTTTAGATCTTTAGGGTTATATAATCTTATAATTTAAGCTATAGTAAAGATTATAGTTAGGTAGATAGAGTTATAGAGCTAAGTCTAGATAATATCTACACACATAAGCGTAGGCTAAATAAGGAAGGCGTGCTAGTTAGTATCTAAAAGGTAAGCTAATTTAACCCTTTAGATATATAATACTTTAATTAGCTATACTACCTACTAACTATAAGTATAACTATAATAATAAAAGATCTACCTATACCTAGGGGGTGTGTTATAGGAGGGATATTAACTAGATTATAGAGTATCTTAATCTAATTAATCCTAATTAATACCCCTATATAACCTACTATCTAATTAACTGCTAGCTTACTACTAAGTGCCTAATAAAAAGCAGGAGCTCTAGTAAGGAAGGTTTACTAATTATTTACCTTCTAGTAAGGGTAGCTAAAGCTCTATATATATAAGTCCGATCGTAGTAGATACAATCTAATAATCCATCTCCCAAATCATTCCTAACCTTAGTGATCCAATTTTCCACACATGCTCGCCAAGGCACCTAGAAGAAGATCTTGATGCTAACTCATCCCTTAACAGAGCTTGGGCTGAAATAGAGCATAGGCATGTCCATCGAGGCTAGTAGCTACAGTAGCTACTTTGATTACTGATCTGGAGCTCTATATATTTAAGCCTCTTCCAGAAACAATGATCCATCTCCCTAATCATTCCTAAGCTCGTAATCACCCATTTTTCCACACATCTCTATGATCTATCTAGAGGCGTTTTTTACTCCATCACTCCATCGCATACAAGATTAGCTAAGATTAGCTACGATGAAGCTCTTACTTCTTGCTATCGTCGCAGCGCTTAGTTCTAGGTAATGTCTGAATTTGTGCACTTACTAGATAGAGTCAGCTAACTCCTCTACAGCGCTGTAGCTAATCGACACCATAAATGTTATTGTTATAGTAACGCGGATGATGGGCTGGTATGCAAACCCCTACGCATTCCCCTAAATACATAACTACTAAGGAGTGTATTAACTAATATTTTTCCTTGTAGTATGAGCCTGATAATGAGAAAACAACTAAAATGTGCGATTCATACAAGAAGAGAATAGGCAATAAGTTCTACGAATGGGATACATGTCCTGACTGTAAATATGAGGTGGTGGAAGATTATGTTGATGAGGGAACACCGCCTGGCTGGTGCTCCTCTGCAGGGAAACACCTTGGTGGGAAAGAAGGCGATCTGCTGCTCATTTCTTAACGCATTTACCAACTA